CCCCCGATCGACCAGCGCCACCCCGCCCCGCGCCGCGCCTCGCCGCTGCCCGGTTGCGCCACCGTCGCGCGGACAACTACACATGCAGGAGGGCCGGGCCCCCGTCCCATGGGGGCAGGGCAGGGGCAGGGCCTAGGTGAGCACGCGGGGGTGTGCGCGGGGCGGGCGCGAATAGATACACATCATTGCGCCACTAGACAGCGCCCCCGGCCCGCCACCGCCAGACACGCCGCGCGCGCTCTTCGGCCAGCTCCCCAAACAAATTATAGTACCGAGTGAAAAAGGCTGATATACTCTCCAGCGTTGCGGGTTTGCATACCCCCAAGGGACTATGGCGCCTTACGGGTAGATCGGGTAGGAAAACCCGCAAACACTGTGGTGCGTTGCATTGACAGACGGTGTATACACCGCGGTTATGAGTTCACCGTGAGCGAGGACGAGAATCGCATCAGCCTTGTTGGCAAAACATACCGCGACACCTGTGTGTTGAACGGCATAAGGCCCGCTCAGTGAAGCCCGCTATGGAAAACAAAAAATCGATCTCATTATTTTATTTTTAGGTACTTTTAAAAAAATAATTTTGTTACGAAGATGTTATTTTATTTTTTACTTTCCGCCTCTGGCGGGGCGGGGCCCCCCTTTTCCTTGAATGGAAGGTGCAGCTCCTCCGCCTGCAGCCGCGCCGGCCGCCGGAACCAACAAAATTACACGTTCCCCCGTGCAGGTGAATGGGCTGCTCCCCTCGGGAAGGACAGGATGTGTCACGTCCTAAACGTCAGACTACTTCTCCTCCTCCTCCGCGCCCTCAAAAAACCTCCAAGTTTGTGAGAAATTCACACCACCGCGCACAACCATTGCGACTACATCAACAGCCGCTGCTTCTCTTCCCACGCTCGCGACCCTGGGGCGTAGTAAGTACCACACCACCATGGTGCTGCACTGCACTACCACCACCATCACGGAGATGGCGATCGCGGCCATCACGACGGACCAACCACGCCAAGGCGGCCGTTGCCGGTGCCGAACAGTGTACACTCGACACCTCGCTCTGCATACCACATGCGGCATCAGGGCGTTGTGGGGGGAGGGAGCGGGGGGCATACCAGCAGGGCCCCGCGTTGGCCATAGAGGGGCCCAGCTGCGCTCCGCCGCGCCGCCCGGGGCCCCCCGCCCGATCCAGATTACACGCCCCCCACCATCTCAGAGAGCCAGCCAAGAGCCAGCATCGGCAACAGGTGCGCGCGCCTCAGACTGTACAGGGGCGGCTGGGCTGCTGCTGCTGCTGCTGCTGCTGCTGCTGCTTACTCTTCCTCCTACTCCTGCTGCTGGTGCTCCTCCTGCTGCTGGTGGTCCTCCTGCTCCTGCTGCTTCCTCTTCCTCCTCCTCCTGCTGCTGGTGCTCCTCCTGCTGCTGGTGGTCCTCCTCCTGCTGCTGCTGCCCCTGCTCCTCCTCCTGCTGCCCCCCCTCCTGCTCCTGCTCCTCCTCCTGCTGCTCCCCCTCCTGCTCCTGCTCCTCCTGCTGCTGCTCCTGCTGCTGCTCCTGCTCCTGCTGCTGCTCCTGCTCCTGCTGCTCCTGCTGCTGCGGCCTCCTCCGCGACATCATCCACTACTCGATTTGGCCATGATGCCTTCGGCGTCTCGATCTGCCACCATACCAGCCATCGCTGCACAGGCGCGAGCGGGGGAGCAAGTGAGAGAGAGAGAGAGAGACGGCAGGCGACCACACCTATACATATACATAGCGCACCTGTCGCGAGAGTGAGGGAGACAGAGCTATGCCGCCCACTTCTTCTAGAGTCTCATCAGCCGCGGGCCAGGAGGACAGCTGGCCTGTTGTGTCGGGGGCGCCTCGGTGACACACACACTCGCGCACACACACACACACATACACACATACACACATACACACACACACACACACACACTCACACGGTGGTGGTAATATGGAGCCCCGTCATCACTTAACAACCTCGCGAAGGAATAAATAGGGCTCCTGATAAGGAAAGGTGACTCGCAGAGGGATGCGGTGGGGGGGGGAGGGGGGTAAGAGCTGAGCTCTGCGTCCATATTTTTCAGCCCACACAACCGACACTCCAACAGAGAGGGGCTGCATGCAGCGCAAATTGCCTATCCCCGTCAGTTGCGTGAGCAGCATAGTTTCCTGTCCCATGTGTCCCCATACGGATGGATGCGCGCCTCCATACGGCAGTGCGCGTTGCAGTGTACCTTACAGTGTCCTTACAGTGTACCTTCCTATCTAACTCCTATCCATCTCCTCTCCCTAGGTACCTCCTCTCGCTCGCTAGGTACCCACTATACCCTCTCTCGCCAATCGCAAACACCCTTCCCGCCGGCCCGCGGCCCAGCACCGTCAGAGCACCGCTACTTCGTGGGAATCTCTAAAGAACGCTTCAGCAGGCAGCTCCGGCGCGCACATTTTTCGGTGTGTCCGGGGAAGGGACTGCGGTCCTTGCCCTTCTTCACCGAGTGGCGAAGCATCCGAAAATCGAGCGACAGAGAAAGAGACACGGACGCACGGCACGCTGGGGCTTGAGTAGAGACTGTAAGAGTAGTGTGTGAGATATGTAGTCTCTCTAGGCCTGGAGCGAGGCCTGGAGCGAGTGCGATAGACTAGGGTTGGAAGCCCTGGAAAGATTCCGGAAAATTTCCGGAAAATATCAGGAATTAACGGAAAATTTACGGGGAACAATGAAAATTTCCCAGACTTTAGAAGTATTCCGTTATTTTCTGGAAATTTTCGGGAATTTTTCGGAAATTTTCAACCCTAACTCAGACCTGGGCGGCAGACGACGCGGAGCTCACAAAAACACGCGTCCTGTTGCAACGACAGTTTCTCATTGCCAGCTCCAGCAGCACGCATCCTTCAACACATTACATACTCATGCTCTCCATCCCACCTGATTCTGCCTCCCCCCCCCCCCTCCCTTTTCCAACAGTCCGAATACCGACATCGCGTACCGAAGCAGCTGCGCCGCATTCCGTCTTACGATACCGCCGCGGATGAGAAAAGGACAAACAAGAGAAATAACGTGTAACCGGCTGCATACACGCCTAAAAAAAGTATGTCACGAAAAATTATGAACGTGCACAAATTACGTCATTCTCGATCATGGGTGGGGTAAATTTATCACGGCACCATATTTGAGCTCAGCGTTGCAAACGGAAGTGCCATGCCATGATAATTGTATCCCCGTAGATAGCAATCTTTCGCGTGGGTAACTTTATCATGGCGTCTTAAAAGCCTCCACGTTCGACTCTAAATTCAAATAGAGGGCCGTGAAAAAAGTACCCCACTGCTGAAAATAACGTATTCAGGGAACGGCCCCAAAACGTTGGAGTGATTTTTCATGACGATAACTAGAATGTACTTTCGTGGTCTGCTGCTCTCACAGCCGGCCGGCCCGGGGCCGGGTGCTGCTCGAGCTCATCAGGAGTCGCGTCGTGTACAGTAGTGGTGGTGGTATGGGTGATTCAAAGTCGAAGGAGGAGCTCCGTGTCCGTGGAGGGAGGGGGACGGGGAGGCGGAGGGCGAGGAGGAGGGCATCGAACGCTTCAACAACCCGAAAGCCTCTCGTAATAAGTACTTACATCGCCCGGAGCGTTCGAGAGAGAGAGAGAAAGAGAGAGGCCACAACAACTCCACGAGCTCACACACACACAACAGGAGAAATACGACCCGGCGGCCCGGCGGCCCGACCCGGCGCCTAGCGGCCGGGCCGGACAAAGTGAAAGGACAGAGTGAACTTGGGATTCCTGCTGTGCCGTCGTAGGGCCAGGGGGAGGAGGACACTGCCGGACATAAGCTGCAGCTCCTGCTGAGCCAATAAGCAGAGGAGGTATAGCCGAAGGAAGGAGCAGGGACGAGCAGGGACTTCCCCGACCGGCGCCGCGCGTACGTCTTCCGCGCGCTCTTTTCGAAGGAAAAACTAAGCCAGGCTAGCGCCTGCGCGGCCTTGAACGAGTTAATCGCGACGGGCCATACTGTTGCTGTCAGAGTCCTTAATATAGAACTCGGTGGTGTACTGCTTGTTGAGCAGAGAGAGCTGCATTTGGGTCCTCATTGAGGTCCTCTATTTCTCTGCAGAGGAGCTCGAAGATCGAAGCGTTATTATTGGCAAACGATATCAGAAACGTGTCGATTCGAGGACCATTTCAGGATTCATTCGACACGAAAATCGACACTTTTAATGGGGGGGTCCCGGGGGCGAAAGCAAAGAGGGCGAAAGGGAATATGACGTGAGCCAACGAGGCTTGAGGCGTCAGGCGTGATGCTCGACAGCCCCGCAGCCCCGTGGCTCGGACACACACTGCCATTTGATTGCTCCTGATTCCCTTGCCCCCCCCCCAGCCATGCGCTGCTGCATCTCGCATGCATCCTTCAGGACCTCTCGCGCCGGCCAGGCTACTCAGCCTGCGCTGCTCTGATCGCGGTCAACGACGTCGTCGTGTTAGTCAGTCGGAGGGGCCGCATGCGCGGCTGCCATAGAGATGGAGCCGAGCGAGGAGGAGGAGAGTTCGGATCGACTGCACCTGACAAAGCAGCGCCTTTCACCCTTTCACCTGACGGGGCCACTGCTGGCGCCGCCGCGGGCACGCCAACGCCGAGCAGCACAACCTGCAGAGGGGAGCTGCAACACCGGCCGCTCGACAACGGACTGCATCCCAACGACATCGTGGACCCCCGTCATCGACGTATCAGCGTGACGCATGTGTCACGCATGCATGCATTGCATGGCATACACAACCGCCGGCGCGCAGTGCGTGCGAGTGGTGGAAACGATATCGTAACGATATCACGGTTTCGCACTGGCATAGCCGCCGGTGACAAACCACTGACGATGTCGAGACGATGTCACGGTGACAGACCACCGACGATGTCACACAGCGACGTCGTCGCTGTCCGATATCGTCTCGACATGCCATGAGTTCCTCACGAAGCGTCATAGAACCGACTACCGGTCCGCGTCCGGACTGACTCACCTTTAGTCTCTAGTTGTAATAATTATTGTAATAACAATAATAAATAATCCAGGCGAGTTTTGCGTTTTTGTTTGCAGAGTGGGCGTCGCGACGCAACGTCGGCCGAGAACAACAACAGCGGTGACGGCGGGAGGCGGTGGTGGCAGCGACGGAGGGCGTGGATGACACTTGGAACTTGCGATAACCGGGAGGCTGTGCTGTGTGTCGTCACAGTCCTCGCGATCACCGTCGTCACACCGCCGTCACAGTACGAGCCGGCGTGTCGTCCTCGTCACGGGGCACGTCACAGCGAGACGTGATCAAGACAACCGACAACGACGGTTCCGCTCGGCTTGGCTGCCCGGACTCGACTGGCTCACTGCAACTGCCTCCTCCTCCTCCTGAACGCGACGCCGACGCCGAGTGGCGGCCAAAACCCGTCCCGTCCAGCCGCTCCACTCCCTCCTCGACGCGCGCGGCGGGGCGGGCGGACGGGAGCGGTTGTCTCTCTCTCTCTCTCGCTCCGCAGCCCGCGGCCCGCGCGCGCCCGCGACGAGCCGAGCGCGGCATGCAGATCGAGTCGAGCCGAACCACATCATCGTGCCCCCCCCCCCCCCCCCCCGGGAAGGGGAAGAGGGGAAGGCGCGCGGTGCACTGGTGCATCACCGACACTGCCTCCCCGACCGCAGTAAAAAGTAGAAAAATAATGTCAAACAAAAAACAAAAATAAAATAATAAAATAAAAAATATGACGCACTGGTAAGGTTTTTCTAAAGTTTTATTATAAAAAGGAAGTTTCTGCGCTGCGGTGTGCAGTGCATACTCTTATAACATGGATAGGTTTCTCAATCATTTGGCACCTGAGTTGAACCAAAATAATCATCACAGCTGCCTTGCCTATGAAGAAGAAAGAATACAGAGTACAAAAAGAAAGGAAGAGAGAAATGAAAACAACCTCAGTGGGTTGCTGCTACGATATGGGAACGATCTGGCCACATGGTCAAATTATTTAAAAATGAGGTGGCGAATTTAAAATTAACCACTAATAATTGGGAAATAAAATCAATCAGATCAGGCTGGCTGGTCACTTTCTGCCCGATCGTCATCACTTTCCTCTGTGCTGACTTGTTCAAATCCTCTTCGGCTATGTGAAGCCAACAAATGACCCAAACTGAATCCGTCATTAGGAATTGCAGGGTATGCTGTATGAGGAAAACAAATATCTAAGTTATAACAAGATTCAAAAACCCAAAGTTGGAACTTGAAATGTATAGCAGGCAAATAAGTTGACCCGATGTAAAATTATCTTTTGCTATTTGAAACTAGCAGCCAAGAAGATGATTGCAAACAGAACAAGTAGCAACTAACAGAAAGCAAATCAAATCTAATTGAATCATGCAAAAGTAACATATTTAAATGCACACAAAAACATTAAAACCATATTTCAAACAAATTACTGTAGATCATACTACATATTATGATAACTGTGCAAAAGCATGTATACTTCACATGACATTACTTTGTCTAGATACCACCATCTTTACCAAAGCAGAACACAATTGTGCAAAACTAAAACTTTAACAGAAAAATGTTATTTTTTTTTATTTTTTTTTTTTGAGTGGAGAACACTACAGTAATTGTTTGTGAAAGCACTAACTGTTGTATACATACAAAAACCTGCATTTGAACTTAAAAAGATTTCACAGTGGTTTTGCCATATTTTAAATGGTAGTTGTTTATGAATTCCATAGAATACAAAATAAAAATAACACTTACTTCATTGTCAAAACTTGCAAAATACAAAAGAATTTCATTAAAGTTAAACTGATATCACTAAGGCACTATACTAAAACACACTATTGTACTGTATTTAGAATCATGCTATTCTACATTATTAACTCGCAATGAAAATTAAAGTCTGATTGTGGGTAGCCCTCCACAATGCCAAACCACGAATCACAGTCAAGAATTCTTAATACTTAACCCATTACTGAGAGTCTTTACTCTAAAACATGGATACAGTATCATTTTTTCTGCTTTGCTGTTTCAAAAAAGCTGAACATTTATCACAGAAGCATATCACCTCCAAAATTGGAGAAACAATTATGAAGTTGGACGGAGAATAGGTTGAAATATTGAAGGCAGACATGTTTACTTTCCATCAGAAAAGGCAAACATTAAATTAAAAGGCCTTAGCCACTTTTCTGACACAAATTTCAATGGGTTATGGCTTCATGTTATAAATGAGATCTGTAGTCTCCAGTTCTTACTGAGGTATAATAACATAAAAGTAAATTTTTTTACAGTATGTTATGTATTGAAAAAAAATTCAGGATAGATTTACAACAGTAGCTTGGAAAGCAGTTCTGAGAACAGCTTCACAACTTCTTTAAATATCATGTTCAAAAAACAATTAAAAAGCCAGAAAACTGTGACTGATGAACATTTTGAGTTTAAGTATTTGATACCCAACACACAGCAAAGAATAAACCACCGCACATAGGAAGACATGAGAAGATTCAACAAACTACGAAATGAAAAACTTGGCAGTCCCTGCTAACTTATCAACAGCTTCCTACTACAAAAATTTAAAAAAACAAACAGTGCATAAAAAATTTGATTGGCATTGCATATTGAAATGAGCAGCCAAAAAGTACTATGGCAACACAACAGTTCCTTTTTTCTAAAATTAAGCAACACCAAAAATAAAATCAACAAGGAAGTGCAAAAAAAAGGAGAAAAAAAAGAAGATCAAAACAAACATACTCAAGACTAGCTTTGTGTCTTGGAAGAAAAGTGATTCTATAAAAATCTAACAGAATTGTACATACTACATTTTATGCTAATTTTTCAGAAAATGGGTATAAAAACACATTTACAGTACATAATACACAATGACAAGAAATCTGAGATGGATGTACTTGAATACAAACGAAAGAAAAACAAGAAAAAACATACGTAGCTCAACAAAATAACTTTTACTCATCATCCTCATGCATTAAGCTGTTTCGCTCATAGCCAGGTTCAGACAGATCAAATTCTAAAACTGGCGGCCTACCTTGGCGTCGTACTCTCATGCACCAAATTATACCAGTTCCAGTGACACACAAAAGAACAACCATCAATGAAATGACTGCCACCATTGGTGCAGACATTGCTTTTGCAATAGTATTATTGGCCATTAGATTCAAACCCACTGGCAAAGAAGAGTTGCTTCCTTCTATTTGAGCTGAAACCAAATAAATCACAAAGAGTCACAATGATATCCTTGGTAGTGATTGGTTTTGTGGAGATAAAAAACAAAACCAACTGACGTGAGTAAAATGCCATAACTTACATTTAACTGTGGGTAAAGATGATGCAAGAGTTGATGAGCTTATAACTGATAAAGTCGATTGATTAGTGATGCTGACAGGATTTGATTGTGTATCTGATCCTTTAATAAAGAAATGTATAAGCAAAGTTTTCAAAATATTTCAAGAAATTCATAATATTAATAAGTAGGACCCAGGAGGTTTCCTGTACCTTTAGAAACAAATTTCCAAACCCGGTGGGGGTCTAACTGAACAACATAAACACTCTCTCCATCAGGTGAAACAGCAACATCATGGGGATTCGATAACTGTGTGTTTCCCGTTTGGAAAGTAGAAATTATGTTTCGAGTATTTGCATCAACAACAAACCCCTTAACTTGCTGTGTATCGGTTGATGGACCATTCACTATGTAAAACAATCCTGAACCAATTCAAATTATTAGATTAGATTGATAAATGGTTAAATTGATTAATGGGAAGCACAGAGGATCTTCTTTCAATTTATACCTTTGGCTGGAGAGTAAGCAACACTGAAAAGTCTTGGGCCTATTTCAACTGAAGATATTTCATAAGCAAATGTTCCATTGTGGGCATTGAAACACTGAACTCGACCATTTTCACGGTCAGCCACACACACTAAATTGAGATCTTCTGCTAAAGTAAGTGCATGTGGAACATTAAATTGATATGGTGCTGGTCTAATACCATAACTACCTGAAAAATAAAAATAAAAATTATGTAACCTGCCTTTGCACAATACTTTAAAGTTCTTTTTGCAAACAACATAAGATTGCAAACTGCTTACCTGTAAATGAACTTCTGCCCCACGTTAGTAAAAGATTTCCTTCCCGATCATATTTCAAAATACGGGAGTTACAGTACCCATCTGATACAAAGAAATCACCATTCTTCATCACAGCCACTGCACTGGGCTTACAAAAATGAGAGTCATCATCACCATTCTGGAAACGTACTCCTTTAACCATTAAGGGCTCTTTATTTTGCTCACTCAGCGATGCTAATGGAGGGAATTTAAAAACTTGGTGGAGTGCAACATCAGTCACCCAGAGATTTTCCTCAGAGTCAATGGTCAGCCCATGAGGCAAGTAGAAACTGGAACACAAACAGACACCACATGAGTTTACATGCCCACAATATGTATCATTATTGGAGGACAGCCATGATAGTAAATCACTTACATCCCCTTCCCCCAACTTTTAATAATAGACCCAGATCGGGGGTCCAACACTATAACAGTATCTTCATTCACAGGTCCATCTTCCTTCTTTTGATAGTTGTCTTGGTTGTCAAAAGTTTCTCCGTTCCACACATGTGGTCCACGGTGAAACACAACCACTTGCCCACGCTGGTCAACTGATACAGCTGCAACTTGTCCAAACTGCACAGTAGGAGCAGGCCAAGATTTTGACCAAACTAGTTCTGCAAAATACAACAAACACAAAATAGACAGGATATAGCAAAAGAAAAGTTTACCACATTAGACATAATATAATGTGAAAATAGACCTAGACAAAGACACAACAAAATATGGAAACTAACGGTGAGTGTCGGATACTGGATTGAGAGAATCAAGAGCCGGACGACGTCTCAGCAGAGCAGAATCTGAGTTTGGGATTCCAACAGGATCTGGATACGGCGCACTCTGTGTTTTAGGGTTCCACATGACACAGAGTCCGAGACGGGACGTCGACAAAAGTAAAAGCAGGGTCCACATTTTGCTGTAAGGAGCGAGAAATGAATGAAACAATATCACAAAATTAAGGTGGTCCTATATAGGCAGAGGTATTTATATTTAACACAGAGGTAAATCGAGAGCCTACCAGCGTGCGTATGTATCCCTGTAGTTGTAAACTAAAAGGGAACTTCCAAATCCTCGTTTAAAATGTTAACATATTATTGGACCTAACCCTCGACAAACACAGGCCCGCTAGCGGTGGAACGCCCGAATCGAGCGAAATACTCATTGATCCGACTTGAAATCTCGGACCGGCGATTCAGAGTACGGTGGCGATGTCCAGCCGCGCCATCTGCTAGAGAGGGGAGTTGCAGAATGCGAGAAAAGGGCAAAATAATGCAAAATTCTGGCGACAGCCTGTTGACAGGTGGGGTGTTGACGTTGTGAAGGGGAGGGGGAGAGGTGGGGGAGGGGAGATCGTTACCGCAGTGGGTCTTACTGCGAATAACGGGGGACGTGCTGCAAATATAATAGTAACGTCTTATTTCCAGACTCGACACAACAACTTTCAACTTGAAAAACAACACGCTGCTGCTGCTCGCTGCAGGCACGAGTTTGTCTCGAGTGACGGCTGACACCGACGCGACGTTCCGGCAGTTCCGGTAACATTTGTTCATTGCTTGTAAGTACACTTCCCTTTACTTTACGAGGAGACAGCAACGAACGCGATCTCTGTGCAAGTGTGATGGAGTAAAAGGCACCTTGAGTACCGGGTAGGTATCGGGACCTCTGTCGTCTGCTGGGGCGGGGATGCAGCATCTCATCTCAAAAAGTTCTCGAAAGAAGTTGCAGAAGGAGCAGAAGGAAGGTGTGCTTCACTCGATTGTATGATCAGCACACTTCAACATCTGGCGGGGTGACTCGTGAATATTTCATCGGGGGGAAAGGACCAGCCCCCCCCCCCCCCGTGCGTTTAGGTGATTCACCCCCATCTGGTGCACTCTCGACGTTTATCAACGTCGACGTCGGTCCGAAATTCAACGTAACACCAACTTCAACGTCGATTCAACGTTGGGCCGACTTTCAATTTCTGCCTGGTGGGCGGTGCCTCGTCCTGGCCGCGCCGAATTGTGTGGGCCACCCTCACCCTGCGTTGTTTGGATCCGCCGCAAATAAGTGATAAGCAATCGTTTCGGAGGTCGCCGGCTCATCGACGAAGAAATGAGATTACGTCATTTCTCATGCGTGGTCGTGCCCGTATACTACACGTGACCTTTTAACGGGAGAAAGGGGAGGGGGGGGGGGTCCCCATCATTGGAGTCCACTGGACCTCTTGATATTTGTACCCCGGGGTACAACTATCATGGGGACCTATGAACTCCTATGACGATCCTGATCATTTTTTGGGAGTCCTTGATATTTGTACTCCGGGGTGGTGAATATTATGGGGCCCTATGGACTCCAATGATTGTCCTGATCCTTCCCTTTAGGTCGCCACCATACCCATCCTCCATCTTGTACCTACCTGACGATGACTGTTGTTGTTTGCAGCCGATGCAGGCGCCGGCGCCAGGCCCCGAGGCCCCCGAGGACGTGATGCGCGCCGCCAAGCAGGCCGTGAGGGCGGCCGTCGAGGCCCGGCTCGCGGCCATGACGACGGAGGCGCGGGCGGAGCAGTCCAGCCGCGTGCTCGTCAAGGTAAGGCGTCATGATGGAGAGCCTGGGTGGAGATTTTAATTTTCCAAAAGAGTAATGTTCAATATATTTTTTTTTTTTCAAAATGTTGGAACTGTTTCTTTTAGAAGTTGTTTGAAAAGAACTTTTTATTTTTACTGGAACAGTTTCCACTTTTATTTGGAAATATTTCGAAGTTTAAAACTCTGGGTAGGGGGGCCCGGTCCCGGGTGGCTGCGACGGCGGAGCAGGTGGCGGTCTTCTCTGCTGCCCTGCTCCCCCGCCCCGACTCGGCCGCCCGAGCCCCGTAGCCCAGTGAGAACGCAACCCGCTGCGCACGGATGTCGCCGTGCGGTCTACCCGCCTCGTGACCGGCGGCGCGTCCGCAGCGGGGGCGGCGGGGTCAATCAGTGACTACTTCAACTAACTTTAAAACTTCAAAAAGGGGTTATTACTGTTATTACGACGGCTTGTTCATCTGAATTGGAGCCACCCATTACTCGGGTCACGCCGTCAGGCCATGTCGGGGGCTTATCCCCTGGGGTCGTTCAAACATAACATCGTTTTCGAGGGCTGGGGTACTTTTATCACGGCGCCTTGAGCTCAGCGTTGCAAACGGATGTGTTTGTGAGGCCATGATCATTGTATCCCCTCGCAGGTAACATTTTTGGGGGTGGGTAACTATATCATGGCGTCCAAAAAGCTTCCACTTCAACTCTGCAGGGTTCATGAACTCAAATAGAGGGTCGTGAAAAAAGTACCGCGCTGCTGAAAATGGCGTGTTTAGTGCACGCCCCCCCCTATACGACAGAAATTGTGATATTTCGAGAAACAAACGGAAATTTGATGACGACCGCGTGTCTGTCGGTCGCTCCGAATATCGTGAACCAACTATAGACGTGCACACCTATTCAGGTTGCTGCGTAACCTCGAC